CTCCCCCCGCGCCTCGGCGGCGGAGCGGAGCGGAGCGGCCGCCGCCCCAGCCGCGGCGGAGTGAATGGGTTGCCATGGCAACTGAGTGAGGCAGGCAGCGAGGCCGCCGCGGCCCCAGCCGCCTCCGCTCCGCAGCGTGTGGGCGAGCAGGCAGCGGGCGGCCGCCGGGACAGCCGAGGGGACGCCGGGAGCGCAGCGGCAGGATGGAGGACGGCTTCTCCAGCTACAGCAGCCTCTACGACACCTCCTCGCTGCTCCAGTTCTGCAACGGTAAGGGCGGGTGCCAGCCCCGGCGAGCAGCGGGGTCCCGGCGCTCCGGCGGGGCGGAGGCGGAGGCCGGCGAGGGGAAGGCAGCGCCGGGAGCGGGCCTGGTCCGGGCAGCCGGCGGCGTCTCCGCCGCCCAGGGCCGCCCGGCTTCGCGGCGCAACTCGGGGAGAGGAGGAGGAGGAGGGAGGAAACTTCACCCCCTTCAGCCTCCCCCGTTATTCGGCGGGAAAGCTGCCAGCCCTCGGGGCGCCTCTGCGAGCAACTTCTGCACGTCCTTCATGGGAATATGCAGAGATACGTGTGCGTATGTGGACGGTGTAGATGTCTGTGTGCATCTTCCCCAAAGGCAGATCTGGTAGCTCGAGCGATCGCCCACCGCTGCGGGTCTCCAACATATCCGCGTATGCCAACATTCACACACATATATAAATATATATATATATGCGTATATATATAAATAGACATATATATGCATGTATAAGAGCTGTATTTGTGTACATGCACAGGGCCGAGCTGCCCGTGACCCCGGGGGCGCAGTGGGACGCCGCGGCGGGGGCAGGTGTCCTTCAGCCCCCTGCGCGCCCCCGCGCCCAGAGCCCACCGGCGCCGCTCTGCACCGGCCAAGGGCGGTGTTGAGGTGCGAGATGCCTGTGTGGAGTTACGGGAGTTGACCTGCAGTTACGGATTTTTCTTTTTTTGCTGTTTTTATTTTTTTTATTTTTTTTTTTTTTAAGGTCGGGGTTATTGGGGTGGTGGCGTCGCCTGGGTGGCAGCATGACAGGGCAGCTGCCAGGCTGCAGTGATGGGTCATAAAAAAGGAAGGAGATGAGGAACTGCAAGTGTTCTCACAGGCAGTATTGGAGATTGGCCTGCATAGTACTTGGGATTATTCAAGTAGCTGATATTTTCCTTGAGGGAAATAAATCAGCTAGTCTAAATATTACAGAGAGTTCTTCATGGTATACTGTAATCTCAAAATACCTTACTTTGGTACAAGTTATTGCTTTCTAGCAGCAAAATTTTGAGCATTCATAATCTCATATTTCATATTTGTGGATCTCTTATTGCTCTACATTTTAGTAGTGGTCTCTGCTTTCTACTGCTGTCTGAACAGCTGGAGTCAGGTTCATACAAAATTGCTTCATGACAGCAACTGCATCAGACATAGCTGCCTCTTTCCTTGGAAGCTGTGAAGATGACAAATTTCACATTATTTTCTTTGTGGTGTGATGCAAGAAAGGGACAGGTTTGCAGAAAACTCTGATATGTGCGGATCTGGAGATTGTGGGAGCAGTTTTTTCAGGGCAGCAGGAGTTGTGTGTGTGGTCTGTGCATTGTGCAGTGACACCATATTTTTGGAGCTCTCCAGGAGAGAAAACTGTGACTGTGTACGAGGGTTGTACGCTAATAGCAGATGCCTGTTTTGCCTAAACTTAATAAATATTTAATTGTAAGTGTTTTTAATAAGGAAACATACAGCAATGTATTTAAAAGTTTATACTCTAATCCGCTTATAAGCAAGCTGTCTTCCTACCAAAATCCCTGAGCTTTTCTTTTACAGTGGTCATGATAGTAGCCTGCAAGTGTGAACAGAAGGAGTAGCATCACTTTCTGAATACTTTAAAAAAGCAGAGTAGCTTACTCCTGTGGACTGTCCCTCATGTTGATTTGGTAACTCTGAGCACCTATTATACTCAGTGGAAAGAAGCCATATGCATTTATACTGTACATAGGTTTTAAAATCTTAGTTAACTCTTAAGTGTTATATTCTAGAATGTGTTTCTGGAACAAATCACTTGCTTAGCTTTGTCTCATTGTAGATAGCAATCTCAAGAGCTGTTGTGAGTTTGTATTATTCTGTGCTTATAAAAGAAAGTGGCTGAGTTCAGAAGCCCTTCAATGTACAAGATAGCCTTTAGTGAGACTATATTAAATGAGATGAGGAATTAAAGATAATCAAGCCTTTGAGTACAGCCTTGAGGTAATCAGGTATTTCACACACGGCAGATGAGGAAGAAAATACAAATAGAAGATGCCAGTGAGGGTTTGAGGTTGGAAAGTGGTAAGTAAATTGTTTTACAGGCAAGTGGAAAGCTCTTGCATATATAATGGTCAGTATGAAAATGATGTGAAGCTGGGAGTGGGGCAGACATGTAGAAGAAACCAAACAAAGCAAGCAAGTGGTAGAGAAATAAAGACAATATGATTTTAGTATATGGCAAAGCGAAATACAGAACGGCTGGTAAGCGCTCAAAGTGATCATCGTTGTGTGCTGTAAAGGTTCCTGCTCTGAATAGGATTAATTTTAGTTGTACAAAAAAAGACATTATGGAATCTTCTGTGCTCTCAAACAAAATAAATGATAAAGAGATGGCCCGTATGTATTGTTTCAAAAGATCAGGATGCAAAGGTTGTGCTCCTGAAAAAACATCTATGTGTCACCTATGGGTAGCAACCAAGGTCTAGCCTGGGCCAAGGATGGCTGCAGCTTCTGCCACTTCTCAGTATGTTCTCCTTGTTTGGAGTGGGTGGGAGCCCAAGAGGGGATGGGGAGGGAGGGAGCAGTAATGGGCAGGAGGCTGTGATGGGGAAGAGGGAGCAGGACCTTGGCTGGTGGAGCACCTGGTCAGGGAGAAAAAAGGTAATACGAGAGCAGATGTGCCCCAAACCTGCTCCTTTCTTTCTAGGAAGGGCCCTGGGTTCAGGGCCCTTCCTAGAAGAATTTGGGTCTTCACTCATATGCAGATTTAGTTTGCGTGATTATTTAGTAATGTGTTTTTACGGCTTGTGATGTGTAAAAAAAGGTAAATGGAGAAGAAAGGGAGAGAAGAAAGAGGGTGAGGCAAATATGTTAGTTTTGAGCTACATGTCTAAAATCTAGGGCAAATATTTAGCACAGCTAGTTCAAAGACACCTACTTTCTTCAAACTCCTTTTTACAGAATAGTAAAGCTACAGTTGGCATTTGAGAAACATTGTGTTAATGAACACAAGTGTCAATCTGAGATAACATCAAAGCAAGAAATACAAACTTCCAGTATGATTTTAGGCAAGTTATTTCATTCTTGATGCCTTAGTTTCCGTAGTTGTAAACTGAGCAGAAAGTACATGCCTGCTTTGGAGGAGTTTATAATATTTATTGATTTGTTTGGTATCTCCCTCTTCAATTTCAGAGGACAGTCTTCAGATGCCCAGAATGTTTTGTTAGTTGCTCTGCCTGTTCTGTTTGTTTATTTTTAAGAAAGACACTAAAATAACTCGTCTTAAAGCCCAAGGACAGTTCTCAACTTACATGTCACTTTCCAGGTAATGAAGGACTCTGTTGGTTTATTTTGCATGTTGCAAAGTAAAGCTTAGATAATATTGACTATGCCTGGTTATGGATACTTTTCTTGGTATAGAAGTTACTTCTAGGTAGAAAGCCAGTATGTTTATCTACAGTCAATCGGGTTGTTAGTCATGTGTTATTTAACCTGAAGGTAAAAGTGGAAGGATACTGATAAGGCAAGATAGTGTTGAGGTTTTTAGCATCTGCTTAAAAACTGGTGGAGAGAACCATGCTGGACACGACCAAACAAGACACATACTGGAATTGGAGACAGTGCTCCTCTCACCTCCAGCTGATTTACTAAGCTGCAGCTGTGATCAGTGCTGATTATAGACAGGCTGGGAAGACTCGTAGGGTGTGGACAGAGTTTTGTGGGTTCTCTGACCACAAATCTCTATCTATCTATTCTCTATCTATTTGCATAGCCTTCATCACAGTAATTGCTGTGGGCAGGATTATTAGGTATGTGAAATGTAAAGGGTGAAATCTGGGATTCCTGCAAAATGCCTCTGTAGACTTAAGGATGGAAGTGAAAATTTTCTGTGATTTCTTTGGAACTTGTAGCGTCTTTTAAATGTCCTTCATGTGGCTACTGAGAAAATCATAGCTGTCAAATGTCCATTCCTGCAACCCCAAATGCCTTGTTTGACAGAAACTTCAACTTTTGAGTATCTGGGTAAAGCAGTAAAAAAAAGTGTGCAACATTATTTCTTAATGAAACTGATATATTTGGCAAGGGACTCCATAATACTAATTACAGTTCTGTTTAACAGATTACCTGAAGTGTAATTGTTAGTGAAAAATTTAGAGTTAGAGAAAACTTTAAAATTATGCAAACTATGCTATAATTTATCTTTTTAAAACAGCAGAATAATCACAGAATCACAGAATATGCTGAGTTGGAAGGGACCCACAAGGATCACTGATCATCTAGCTCTTAGCCCTGCACAGGACCATTCCCAAGAGTCACACCATGTGCCAAGAGCATTGTCCAGACACTTCTTGAACTCTGTCAGGCCTGGGCTGAGCACTTCCTGGGGAGCCTGTTCTAGTACCCAGCCACCCTCTGGGTGAGGAACCTTTTCCTGATATCCAGCCTAAACTTCCCTTGACACAACTTCTGGCTATGCCCTCTGGTTCTGACACAGGTCACTGGAGTGGCTGCCTGTCCTCTTCCCCTCTTGAGGAAGTTGTAGTCTGTGATGAGGTGTCCTCTTAGTCTCCTGTTCTCCAAGCTGAACAGACCAATAATAAAAAACTTCTGAAAAATTAATGGTTCCTTTTTGCTCCCTCCCCCCAAAATGACCAAAATCACTAAATCATATTAAGATTTTTGACAAGTAATAGCTTTGATAACTGTCAGTCACACTTAAGTAATGAAAAGTAAATTGTGTGACTCAGTTTTTGTCAATCTATTTAAGGTTTGAATCTTCTGCTTCTGTAATTCTCCTCCATTCCTGAAAACAAATGTAACATGTGTACCTCTTCTCTCTGACTCCTGTATCTGCGTGTGGAACAGTGCCTGTCAGTGAGGAAGTGAGCACCACAAACAGGAAATCTGTATGGATAGTATTATTCTGGTGGTGTCTCTTCTTTCCCATTTGACTCTCACACTTCCTCTCCTTAACCTTCCTAAATGCAGCTAGTTACCCTCTTCCTACAGCTGGACCAAAGTC